GTTGGGCTCCCTCCACCCTCGAGAGGCCTGGACGGTCTCCTGGGGCCAACCTTGGCAAGGGATGAGGGGCATCCCGTCGTGGGAGACCCCCGTGCTTTCCTCCAAGGCGCCCTGTCCTGCAGGACTGGCCAAAGCATTGGAGGGCCAAGCTCAAGAGGAGCCCAGGGGACCTGTCGCTGGTGACTGGCCTGGTCTCACACCTGCTCAGGTACCCTGAGCCTTCAGGGCCCCCTTGCTTTGGCCCCACAGAGCCCCTGTCCACTGGCTTTCAGCTCCCCCCTGCTGCTGGATGCTGAGGAAGGGGTTACAGAGCCAGGAGCTTAACTGGGAGGACTGGAAGGCCGCTGCCTGGGGAGGGGGCCCCTGTGGAGACCTCAGCTGCTTTGCACAGAGGGTTTCCTCCACCTCCCCGTGGGGGTGGGTCAGACTTTTTTTGCTACATCACCGACAGGAAGTAATCCACGAGTCACTTCTCTGAACGCGTTCAGAGTGTGGCAGCTTTGTAGACTGCTGGATGTCACAGATGAGGGCCTGAAGCTCAGACGGGTGAGGTCGGTGACAGGCTGGGGCCAGCAGGTAGACGGCCGCCCCTTCTGCTTCTGACGGGGGCCACAGAGGCGCATGATCTCTGCTGAAGCACGAGGACCGTGGTGGGCGCTGCCTCCTCTGGGGTGCAGCATTTCCTAGACTCCTGCCCCTCTCCTTGCAGCCTTCCCGACCACCCCATCTCGCAACTCCTGAAGAAGCTCCAGTGTGCCGTGTACAGCACACTGTACCCTGTCGTGAGCAGGGCCGCCTCCAGCGCCGCGCCTGCCCCCGGCTGCTGCTCCCTGCCCCCAGACACTGACCGGCTGCTGGCTCCTGGGAGCCGCCGGCTCCGGTCCTCGCAGAGCCTCTACTGCATGGTCTCCCCGCCAGAGCCCAGCACAGCCCCGCGGCCCCAGGACGGCTCCCCTGCGCCCCCCACCACACCCCCGCTGTACCCTGGCCCCCCGGACAGAGGGGCAGAAAGCAGCCCCGGGGGGCCACCCTCACCCCTGGGGGATGCCTCCTCCCACCTGCCAGACAAAGACAGCTCTTTTGAGGACCTGGAACAGTTCTTGGCTACATCTGAGAGGTGGGGCCGGGGTCTTGGGGGGCAGCCCGAACCACAGACCCCCGGGGCACAGCAGGAGCCCCTGCCGGAGCAGCTGAAGAGCGCGGTGAAGGACATCCACAACGCCATCGGTGAGCCCCGCAGGCCGGGCGGCGGGGGAGCTGCTCTGACTGCAAAGCAGCGGCAATTGCAGCTCTCCAGGGCCCTGGGCTCAGCCAACCCTTCCCTGGGGCCAAACACTCTGTCCAGCAGAGCAGGCCCTGGCCCTGCCCGGGCCCTCGGAGAGCTGCTGGGGCGGGTGTGCGAGTCCCCACTGTGTCCCCACCAGGCTGTGCAGGGAGGAGGGAGACGGGGCCTGTTTGCCTCTCGCTCCTTTGCCCCGTCCGGTCCAGTCTGTCAGAGCCTCGGGTCGGCAGGTGGTCCTGGCTGTCCCACTGGGTCAGACACTTTATCTCCACCCCAGGGCTGTTGAGTGTGTGCAGCCTGGTGGTGCCCATAGGCTCAAGCCTCAGCCTCTCTCCGTGTGGACGTGGTGTGTGGAGCCCTCTCTGGAGAGGGAGGCCCAGCATCGGGGGCTGCGCACTCACTGTGCTGCTACATCCCGAGGGGCTGGGGGTGGCGGCTCAGACAGGGAGGAGCGCCACAGCCTGGAGGTGGTGGCAGGGGTGGCCCTGTTGGGACGTCCCGGCTCTGTTTCTGGCAGACAGACTGCTCTCGCTGACACTTCTGGCCTTCGAAAGCCTGAACACGGCTGCCTCCAAGGACCGTTGCCTGGCATGCATTGAAGAGCCTTTCTTCTCCCCGCTGTGGCCCCTGCTGCTGGCCCTGTACAGGTACGGCCCCCGCCTGGCAGCCGCCCGTGACTTCAGCTCCGGTCCCCCACAGGGCCTGCCCGGCTCACTGGGCACGTCTGCTCTCCTCTCAGTCCCCGAGGCGTTTTTTGGTACTTCTGGCTGGGGCTGTGCTCTGAGGCTGTCCTCAGGCGTCTCCAGTTTGCGGGTAGGGCCATGCCCACTTCCTGTGACTGGGGTCCCGGGAACAGCTGGGACATTTGCTTGGTTTGCACGGCCAGCTTTCTCCAGCACTGAGCTCCAGAGGCCTCTGGCCGCAGCCCTGCCTTTCCCTGGGGCAGCTGAGCCTGGCCTCCCCCTGCCACAGGAGCGTGCACCGCGCCCGGGAGGCTGCCCTGAGCAGGAGCATGGAGCTCTACAGGAACGCGCCCCCCACAGCCATCGGCGTCCCCACCAAGCTACTGCCCCGGGACCCTGAGGCTAAAGGGGCCACCGCCTACCCCTACTGTGCAGCAGCTCAGGAGCTGGGGCTGCTCGTCCTGGAGAGCTGCCCCCAGAAGAAGCTGGAGTGCATAGGTGAGGAGGCTCGAGACCAGGGAACAGGGCCAGGTGTGGCAGGGTCCCACCCAGTGGGCGACCTGCAGCCCGCACCTGTGCCTCTTGTCAGACGTGGGGCCTGGGCCATGCGGGGGTGAGAGCGATGCCCACGGGGCTCACCCAGCTCTTCCCAGCCCAGCACATCCGGAGGCAAGTGGGTGGTTCCAGGGAGTGCGGGGGCAGCCTTCCCGTCCCTGCTGGGGCCTCCCTTTGCACCCCTGCACCCCTCGAGCCACACGTCTGTGCTGCAGTGCGGGCCCTGCGGGTCATCTGTGTCTGTGCGGAAGACTACTGCCATGCCCAGGAGGTCGCATCCGAGGCCGGACTCCAGCCCGTGGCTGCGGCCGCCATGTGAGTCCCAGGGGGGCCAGGCTGGGGGCCACCTGGCAAGTGGGGGGCTGTCCTCCTGCCTGCAGAAGCCTGGTAGGGGGGAGAGGACTCTCCCTGCCCCAGCACCGGGCAGCTCCTGAGCCCCAGAGCCCACCTTCTGGAAGAACAAGCCCACGGCCACTGAGGACCACAGGCTCAGGGAAGGCGAGGGCGCGGCTCAGGCTTCTGCACTGTGGGGGGATGGCACAGGCCGGAGGGGCCGGGGGCCACCTCACTGCTCCCAGTGGTCCCCTGGGCCACAGGTGCGCAGGAAGGCACAGAGAGGGCAGCCAGCATGGCAGGGCCGCTCCAAGGGCCACCAGGCCTGGGCAGGGAGCCGCGCCCGCCGGAGCCCACATCGCTGTGCCTTGCCCAACAGTGGCGCGGACGACCTGCTGCCCATCCTGTCCTTCGTGGTGCTGAGGAGCGGCCTCCCCCAGCTGGTGTCGGAGTGTGCGGCCCTGGAGGAGTTCATCCACGAGGGGTAGCAGCCCGCTGGGGGCAGGACAGGGAGCTCTGGGAAGAGCTGGGGACAGGGCAGCCTCGCCTGCCAGGGAACCTCATCCCCAGACCTAACCCCGTGGTCTGGTGTCAACAGGCTGCAGGCGTGTGGCCCCGCCTGTCACAGAGCACGCCTTTGGGCCACCCCTCCCACTCCACCTGTGTGCAGGCTGCCCCCAGCTGGTGTGTCCCACGGCCCCTCGCTCAGCCCACACTCTGCTGAGGCTGGAGCTGAGGGGCTGTCCCCTGAGCACATCTGCCTGGTGAGGTGGGAAAGGCCTCCCCAGCCCAGCCTCCCTGACAGCCCCACCTGGGGGCAGCTCGGTCCCCCGTGAGGGCAGCCGCTGCCTTCTGGAGTACCGGGGTGTCCTCTGTGCCCCGCAGATGACATGTGCTGCCTGTGTCCCTGCAGGTACCTGATTGGAGAGGAAGGCTACTGCCTGACATCGCTGCAGAGCGCCCTCAGCTACGTGGAGCTGCTGCCCCGGGGGGCCCTGGGCAACTCGTAAAGGCCAGACCCCGGGGTTCCCAGGACCATCCCTCCTGTACCTCAGAGCCCCAGGACCCACCGAGGACTGTCCAGGAGCTCACGCTGCCCTGCACACCTGGCACCGGGGCTGGGGGCGTGTCGGCTGGGGTGCTCTCAGCCCTTGCCACCCCCTTACTGCACATCTGCCCCCAGGCCGCAGGCAGCACCCAATCAGCCGCCAGGACCAGAGACTAAGAGGCCCCATCAGGGGAGCTGAGCTGGGGGCTCCCCTGGTGTCCCCCAGGCCCTGACAGGGCCCTGTCCCCCGTGGCTGCAGGCTCCGCGGTGAGCATCTGGCTGGGCCCCAGCACGCCCTCACTGACCGGGGCAGCTCCTGGGGGCGTCAGAGCAGAGGTGTTACTAGCCCACCCACAGCAGCAGGCAGTGGGGCCCGCCCCCTGCGGCTGTCAAAGCTCCTCTGAGCCAGCTCCTCGTCAGAGCTAAGAGCTGGCCGCCCCCGCCCAGGCCTGGGGCACGGGTGGTGCCAGACTGGGGCTTCCTCACTGGGCGGGGCTGCTCTGCGGTGCCTGACGGGCCAGGCACCTGGGCCCTGAGCTGGCTCTCACTCACCGTGGCAGCAGGCGGTGAGCATTCGGGACCCCAGGCCAACTCCGCCCTGAATGTCCTCCCCCAGGGCAGTGTGAGCTGAGGTCAGCGCCCAACGGTTAGGTGACCCCTCGTGATCACCAACCCAGCCTAAAATAAAGAGGTCATTGCTGTCTCACGTGACACGGCTCCTCAGCCCCCACCCCTGCTGCCCACCAGAAACCACTGAGACGGGTGGCCAGAGCCACAGCACCCCCAAACCGAGCCTGGCCCGTCCTTGTGAGTGCCTGGGAGCAGGACCCCCCTGGGGCTGCAGCTGGCTGAGCAGGGCTACGCTTTGCTTTCTAGGACAGGACGGCTCTGCCAGGCACCAGTGGGTTGAGTGGGGTTGGGGTCAGAGGTCATCACTGAGGACCTAAGCCCAGAGCCCTCGCCTGAAGGTCTCTCGGGAGTAACTGTCGGTCTGTGCCTGGTAACACGCGCACCAGTGCCCTGCGGTGGAAGCATGTCACCCCTGGAGAGGAGGGGCAGGTGGCTGAGCGCGGGCGGCCTCCGCCAGGGAGGAAGGGCCCCTCTGCCCCTCCACAGGAAAGGGGAGCCCTAACCCCAGGTTCCACCAGGAGCTGGCTGTGGGGACGGTGTTTGGGTCCCTTGGGGAAACAGTCTTACAAATCAGCAACAGCTGATGTTTATCAGATGCTCCATGTTTCAAACCCTCTGCAGGTAATAACTGGGTTACCCCTCACAGGACCCCATGAGGAAACAGGTGACATGCCTCTCCAGGTGGCTGGCAGAACGGGCTTTGAGCCCAGTAGGCTGACTCCAGAGGCCAGCTGCACACAGTGCCAGGGGTGCCTGGGACTGGGACCCCAAGAGCAGGCACAGGCGCAGGAGCCAAGGGAGGGCAATTGAGTCCCTGGCACAGCTGTTCTCTGGCTGCAGCCTGCGTGGGTGGGCGCTCCTGGGGCTTGACTTCTCAGCGATTCCCGACCCCCAGCCCCTCACCCAGAGTCCCAGAACACACCGGCTGCCACTTACCTGCCTGCCTGTGTGTGGCAGAGCTTTCAGTCCTCTGCATCCCAGCCCTCTGCAAAGAAAAGACCCAAACTCAGTCCCTAACCCTACCCTGGACGCCCTGCTGCTCTGCTGACTCCAAGATGCTGCTCTCCACTCCTAAACTTGTGCTCTTGTGAGGCATGGAGTTCTGAGTCCCCCGGACCTGGACCCCAGCCAGTCTTGGTGTCTTTGGGGCGGGGGGGGGTAATATCCCTGCCCCAGGCTTCAGCATGGATGTCTGAAGGTGGGATTTTTGTTGTTGTTGGAGACAGAGTCTTGCACTGTAGTCCCATCTAGAGGGCAATGACGATCCTCCTGCCTCAGCCTCACGAGTAGCTGGGACTACAGGTGTGCGCCACCACACCCAGCTAACTTTTCTATTTTTAGTAGAGATGGGGGTCTCACTCTTGCTCAGGATAGTCTTGAATTCCTGACCTCAAGCAGTTCTCCTGCCTCAGCCTCCCCCGAGTGCTAGGATTACCGGTGTGAGCCCCCACACCCTACCTGAAGGTGCGATTTTAAAGCCCCACGTCAGAGAATGGTGATCAGCTATGTCTTGAGCAAATCCTGATCGTGAAGCACCTGTTGGCTTTGCATCAGGGGCCACACCTGTCAGGCCAGTACTTTGAGGCCTGGGCCTGTGCCGGCCCAGCTGTTTCCTTGGCACAGATTAGGCAGGCTGTGTTCAGGTGCGCTTCTTGCTGTGTGACTTCAGGCTACTCCTTTAGCCTCTCTGAGCCTGCAGCTCTTCCATGAAACAAGGATGAATAATAGAACCTTCCCACTGGAAATCCTGCAAGTCAACAAGAAAAAAGCAGGAGCTCCAGTTAGAAAAACAGCAAAGATTACAAATGGCTACCTGCAGAGGAGGAACTCAAAAACGAAATTCTGTATAAGTGTGTTCAAATCATAGCAAAAATCAAATATAAATTAAAGAAGATAAAACTTTACATCCATTAGACTAGTAAAAATTAGCAAGCTGGAAAATGCTGAGTATGGTGGAGTGTGGGGAGAGGGGAACCCATATGCACAGCTGTGGGGCGGACAGGGCAGGGAACTCGAGAGAACCAGGTGGCAGTCCTGGGCCAGGTAAGTACAGGTGGACCCTCTGTCTAGTGAGTCTGCTCCTGCTCTTAGCCCAGGGTGCACAGGAGGACGTGCGCGGACGGCGCTGGGGCGCTGCAGCATCCATCCCTGGGGGAGCAAAGAAGGAAATGGGAACCCACATGTCCCAGGTAGCTACCGCTGTGTGACAAGCCACCCCAACTCGCTGGCTGAAATACACAACAGTCATTTATTTCGCTTATGAATCTTCCATTTGGGCAGGGGTCAGAGGGGACAGCTTGTCTCTGTGCCTCCCCCTGGTGTAACCCAGGGCAGCTTGCAGGTTGGGGAAATCCGGTGACCCCAGGGCCGGGTTGGGTCCTGTCCACTGTCCGCAGTTGATACTGTTGTCAGCTGGGACCTCAAAGCTGTCAGAGCAGAAACATGAGGTTTGGATGAGCTTACTGGGGCTGCCATGACAAATGCCAAAGAACGACTGGCTTAGAACTGAAATTTACTCTCATGCTTCTGCCGACCAGAGACCCGAAACCAGGATGTGGGCAGGGCTGCGTCCCTCTGAAGGCTTTGGGAAGCCTTTCCCGCCTTCTCCCGCGGGAGAAAGTGCCTGCGGGAATCCTTGGTGGTCCTTGACTTGAAGCTGCATCACTCCAGCCTCCCCGTGCATCTGTGTCTAAATTTCTCACTTCTTGCAAGGACACCCATCACACTGGATTTAGGGTCCGTCCCAGTCCAGAATAACCTCGACTTGATTGCATTTCTAAAAACCCTATTTCCGAATAAAGCCACATTCCCAGGTTCCAGGAGGACCTCGCAGCCCAGGGCAGGGCTCCCCAGGTGGCTGCCAGCTTCCTCGGAGGCAAGGCAGGGCCGCACCGGGTCAGGCCCATCCCAGGAGTCGCGGCAGGCACGAAACCCAGTCGGTTCCGGGCTCTAGGCCCAGCGGGACGGAGCATCGGAGCCGCACGAGCTCAGTGGCGAGCCGGGGGCGGGTGACCCACCCTGCGCTCGAGGCGGCGAAGGGAGGTGGAGGCGCACGAAGTCGGCGGCCCCTCGCGGTCGGCGCGGCAGCGAGGCTGGGTCCCGTCCACAGCGAGAGGACCAGGGTCCGGCGGTGGCCGCAGAACGGCCCGGGCAGCGCCAGCCCAGTCGCGACGCCAGTGCCGGGCGAACGTGCTGAGTGAGACTCGGGCCCGCGCCCGGCAGGCCGCGTGGCAAGGTCGACTCGGTCGAGCGGGCAGGTGGGCCTCGCTCTACGCCGGACCCTCCGCCCGCTCCGCCCGCCGCGGGGGCGGCTTAGCCGGGGGCCGACCGCGGCCGGCAAACGGCATCACGTCCCGGGGAGCCGGCCCGGCCGTCGCGCTGCCTCCAAGAGCCCCGACGAAGCTCCCAGGCCCGAGGGCCCGGAGCTGCCGGAGACCACGCAGCCGGGCCGGTGCAGAACCCGGGCTCGCCGGGCCCGCGAGACCGCTGTGCCAGCGACGGCAAGGCAACGCCCGAGGGCCCCGCCCCTCCGGGTGGCCCCGCCCCGCGCCCCCAGCCAATCCCCGCCCGGAAATGGGGCCACGCCCCCGCGCCCTTAGCCAATCCCCGCCAGGAAGTGTGGGCGGCCCTACTCCCGCCGGGAGAAGCCCCGCCCTCCTCACTCCAGCCAATCCCCGCCAGGAAATGGGGCGTCCCCGCCCCCGCCCCGCGCTCTCAGCCAATCCCTGCCAGCCAATGCGCGGGGCCCTGCCGGCGCCCCCGGTAGGCGCGGCCGAGCCGGGCCAGCTCTCCGGGGCAGGCGCTCCCGAGGTCGGCTCCGGGAAGCCCGCCCCGACGGGAAGAGCTAGCGGGCTCCGGCGCCCGCCCCGCGGGAAGGGCTGCCAGGGACACGCAGGCGCCGAGCGCCCGCAGCTGTCGCCCGGAGTCGGCTGCGGACGACCCAGCCCTGGGGAGGCAAGGGGCGGCGGGACAGGCGGCCGCGGAGGTGCGGGCGCTCGGCGGGCGGGGCCGCCGTCCGCCGCCGTCCCCAGGCCCCGCCCGCCCCACCGGTAGCCGAGGGGTGGCACCCGGCAGGCCCGCCCCCCGCGTCACCGCACGGCCCGCGCGCGGAGCCCACGCCCGGCGGAAGCGCGCGGCCGGGGAGAGGGCAGCGCTGAGCGGCGGCGGCGGCGGCGGCGTCCGGGCCGCCGGGGACGACAGGTAGCGCGTGCGGGGCCCGCAGCTCGATCTGGTGGCGAGGGGGCCGGGGGTCAGGACGGGGGCCAGGGAAGGGGCGCCGTCGGGCCCGTGCGCACAGCACTGCAGGCTGGCGGGAGGGGCCGCACGTGCGGGAAGCCGCTCCGCTGGGGCGGACTGGCGCTCCAGGCTGGAGGGGCCCTGCGGATGCGGGGTGGGGGTGCTGCGGAGCCCGGGGTCGCACGGCCGCGGGAGGGGTCTGCGGTTCCTGACGCCCCGCCCCGCCGCAGGATGGGCAGCAGCTCGCTGTCGGAGGACTACCGCCTGTGCCTGGAGCGCGAGCTGCGGCGGGGCCGCGCGGGCGTGTGCGGGGACCCCTCGCTGCGCGCCGTGCTCTGGCAGATCCTGGTGGAGGACTTCGACCTGCACGGGGCGCTGCAGGACGACGCGCTGGCGCTGCTCACCGACGGCCTGTGGGGCCGCGCCGACCTGGCGCCCGCGCTGCGCGGCCTGGCCCGCGCCTTCGAGCTGCTGGAACTGGCCGCCGTGCACCTGTACCTGCTGCCCTGGAGGAAGGAGTTCACCACCATCAAGGTGGGCGCTGGACCGAGGGGCGCGCGCCCGCGGGCGACAGGGCTCGGTCGCTTTTCCTGCCAGGCTGCCAGGGGCTGGCTCCCGTCGGGAGAGAGGTTTGGGGTGGCCTCCAGGGTGCTCAGAGCACTCAAGGGATTGGCACGTGCTGGGTCAGCTCCCACCCGAGGGCCTTGGGGCACTCCCAGGGCTAAGAACCTGGGGTGGGCGGAGGGGTTTGGATGCTGCCTGCCCGGGGAAACCCCGCCCTTTAAAGCCCACGTCACTGTAGTCCCCGGAGTGCCCCCGCGGCCCTAGTCGCCATGGAAATCCTAAGACAGGCGCACAGGAGGGACTTGAGGTCCCATGGTCATTCTAATTCCTCCAGGACGTGGGCTGATCCCGTGTGCAGAGGACGCTGAGGCTGGGCGGAGCCCGCGGGTGGGTGTGTGCCCTGCGAAGTCTGCAGGGACTGGGCACGGACCTAGTTCTCTCCTCGGCCCGGGCTCCGAGGCTGTGCCCAGGGCTGGCCTGGCCCCTTTAGCTGAGCTGCTGGCCCGCAGGAGGGGGTAGGGCCGCCGGAGCGCTGAGCTAATCCCGAAGAGTAGGAAGGCGATGACGTCACTGCACACGTGGGCGAGGTACGCCTCCGCCGGTTGCCATGGTAGCGGCAGCCTCTCCGGAGGGGCGCGGGAGCTGCTCCACGGGGACACCTGCCGGCCCGAGGTTCCGGGACTCGGATCCATCCGCTCAGACGGGAGGGGAGAAGGACAGCCAACAGCATGGGGCGAAAGCACGACGGACAGGCCCGCCCTTGGGACGGCTGGGGGCCGGGAGAGTGACGCGGGGCTTCGCAGGCGGGCAGACCTGCTTGGCGCTGCTTCTGTCTCTTGGCTGTGTGGCTTTGGGCAAATTACCTAACCTCTCACGACCCGTTTCCTACTCTGAGAAAGGAGCACACGACAGTCCAGTCTGTAGGGCCAGAGCAATGGAGACGGAGTCCTGAGCCCCGTGCGCGCACGGTCGGTGCCCAGCAGGGGGCGATGTCCTAAGTGCCGAGGTCCTGCAGTTAAGGAATTTTTAAGCCGGGAGAGACAAACATCGTTGTCCTAGTCCCTCCTTTCGTTCATCACCTAACTCCGCAGCTAGAAGGGACTTTGCGTGGGTCACTCCAGGGCTCTCAGCTGCACGCTCCAGCCGCTTGGTGGAAAACCCACAGGCAAAGGCCCTGTCCCCACAGGGAAAGATCTCGAGGCTGAAATGGAAGAAACCAAAGTTCAGAACAGTGCACTTAAGAGGTTCCCTGCTAGGGGGCAAGTTATATTTATCTCTGTTTGTGTCTGTATAGCCAAACACCTGGGCAAGCGCATCTCAAATGAGGAGAGAGTAGAATTTCTCAGTGTAAGGGCTCTTTGTGTTCCAATTTATGAGCCAGGTAAATACTATTTTTAATTACAATTCAAAAATTCTGATGCCCAGGCCTGCCCCAGACTGATGCGATCAGTCTCTGGGGGTGGACCCAAGGCCAGGGCACAGGGGCCCTGGCTCTGCTGCACCCCAGGGTCCAGGGCTGTGGCTGACCAGGTCCCTCCCTTGCAGACCTTCTCAGGGGGCTACGTGCACGTGCTCAAGGGTGTACTCTCAGAGGACCTCCTCCTCAAGAGCTTCCAGAAGATGGGCTACGTGCGCAGGGACAACCACCGCCTCATGGTGACCTCCCCTCCCCCGGCCTGCCAGCTGGTCCAGGTGGCCCTGGGCTGCTTCGCCCTCCGGCTCGAGTGTGAGATCCTGGGAGAGGTGCTGGCCCAGCTGGGCACCAGTGTGCTGCCGGCTGAGGAGCTGCTGCAGGCCCGGAGGGCCAGCGGGGACGTGGCCTCCTGCGTGGCCTGGCTGCAGCAGCGGCTGGCCCAGGATGAGGAGCCGCCGCCCCTGCCCCCCCGGGGCTCCCCTGCTGCTTACAGGGCCCCACTGGACTTGTACCGGGAGCTGCAGGAAGACGAGGGCTCCGAGGAGGCCAGTCTGTACGAAGAGCCGTCCCCAGGCCCAGACTCACCCCCGGTGGAGCTGGCCTACAGGCCCCCACTCTGGGAGCAGAGTGCCAAATTGTGGGGCTCTGGGGGCCGGGCCTGGGAGCCCCCAGCTGAGGAGCTGTCTCGGGCCAGCAGCCCACCCTACGGGGCCTCAGAGGAGGAGCTGGAGCCTGAGCCCTCAGCCTTCTCCTTCCTCTCTCTGCGCCGTGAGCTGAGTCGGCCTGGAGACCTGGCCATTCTCGAAGCCCCCGGGAGCCCTGGGGGGTCCAGCCCTCGGCGCATGCGGGCAGAAGAGGCACCTGCCTCAGCCTACGGGCCTGCCCCTGAGCCCCCCGGCTACCAGGCACACGGCTGCCTGCTCCCAGGCGCACTGCCCACCCTGTGCTGCGACACCTGCCGCCAGCTGCACGCGGCCCACTGCTCGGCCCTGCCCGCCTGCCGCCCCAGTCACTCACTGCGCGTGTTGCTCGGCGAGACCCAGCGGCGCTTGTGGCTGCAGCGTGCGCAGATGGACACCTTGCTCTACGACAGCCCTGGGGCCCGGCCCTAGGCCCCGCTGGGCCCCAGGTCAGGGGCTTTGGGAGACAGTTCCCATGGTGCTTCTCTTTAGGGGGCTGTGGCCGATGGCTGCCCTGCGCCGGGGCATCCTGGGCACAGCAGAGGCGGGTTAGAGAGTCCCGGCCCCAATTGGGAGGGGCTGTGGGGGTTATCCTTGCCTCATACAAGGCACCTCCTTAGGGGGCCAAGCCTGAACCCCTGCCAGCAGGGGACCCTCCCCACATTCCCTGCCCTCGGTGCCCAGGCCACGCCCACATGTGGGGGTTAGAGGGGCCCGGCCTACGTGTCCCTGTCCCACTGCTCAAACCTCGCCCTGAGAAGGAACCCGACCCCTCAGGCCCTCTGGCTGGCCTGTGGCCCCCGACCTGTTCCATGATGTCTGTGGTCCAGGACACGCCGCCTCCCTCCATGTGTCCAGGGCATTGTCCACACAGGGATACCCGAGGCCCCCCAGCTCCACTGGCCCAGTCGGGGGCTCTGCCTGGTGCACAGTGGGCCTGGCTGTGGGGCCCTTGGCCCTTCCCCTGGGGTGTCACAGGCTCAGCCACAGCCGACGGGGCCAGTTTTCCACAGACGGAAAACGGTGCCCGAGAGCTGCAGGCAACGGGGAACAGGTGGGGGGCGGGGGCACCACTGCCCTGCCAGGACAGCGGTCCTCAAGCGGCACCCCAGCCTCCCAAGTGGAAGGTGGGGTGACGGGCCTCAGGCTGCTGGGCTCCTGGTGGGTAAAGGTGCAGCCAGTCCCCACGTAGCCGCGGCCTGAGGCAGCACAGCCCCCAGGCTGGGGAGGAGGGGTCTGCCCTGGCCCACCTTTGGGGCTGGTGCTCTCGGCCTTGGCTACCGTGAGGCCGTTCTGGGCTTACCCCTCCCTGGCCACCAGGGCACAAAAACCCCCCTGGACACTGGGCACCGCCCTCATCCCTCCAACCCAACCCACCCCCTTCCCAGCACACTCAGAGGACACCGTTGATGTCGCAAGAATCAGAACCCCAAAGTACATTAAACGATGGAGAAACCACAGTGTTAGGAAAGCTTTTATCTGGTGGGAACCCACTGTTTTCCTCCCTTGGCGTTACACCCAACCACACCCCTCTTCCTGGGGCCAGACCCAGCTCAGCCTGCAACCTGGCTCTCCTGGTGTGCTCAGGGGTGTGCCATTGTGGCCCCCACCCCCACCCGGCCCTGGGCAGCTGCTGGTGACCAGGAGGCGACACGAGTGCCAGGTCAGCACCCACCAGCGTTTCCAGGATGTCCATGGAGTTGGACCTGCACTCACAGTTCCTGCTGAGAAGTGAGGGTCTCAAATTCTACCCAAGGCAGGAATGAAGGGCAAGGCCCCGTGCAGCCATAGCTGGCACTGACCCAGCCCAGCCCTTCTGGGGTGTGCAGGCTTGGAGCCCCCACCCCTGAATGTTTCTGGGGGTGGCAGTGGGTGCAGAAGACAGTGTGGTAGGGTTGGCTGGAGGAGGATGTCCTAGCCAAGGGGACAAGCTGGATCCCAGGTGACTGGTCAGCCCGGCCCGAGAGACCCTGTCTGTCCACTGCTGACCAAACGATCCGGCTGAGGGGGTGCAGGTGTGTGCCAGGCTCAGCATCAGGGCTTGCAGCGCTTGGTCTGGCCCTCAGACGCGGCCGGGGCGGCCCGCTTGTTGCGGTGGTGGGGGAAGGTGGGCATGAGCTCCGGCTCGCAGGCTGCAGGGAAGAGAGCGGCTCAGCACGGTGAGGGCTGCCCAGGCAGCGCCCAGGTGAGAGCATCTCCAGGGCTGAACCCAGCTCTGCATGTGGGCCTGGCCCTGTGCTGTCCTTGCTCTGTCTGTTCCACCCCTACCCCAGGGAGGACCTGTCTACCTGCAGTCTGCCCAGGGCCCACACTCCACCCCAGACAAAATGGGCTGCCGGCCAAGCCCCCTAGAGCAGAGGCTGAGGGCGTCTGGCACTCACGGAGGGGCTTCTCCTTGAAGTACGAGCTCTCCAGGCAGTCCCCGGCTGTGGCCCTAGAGGAAGGTGGCAAAGCCGTTAGTGGGAGCCTGGACCTCGGTCAGCCTGTTTCCCTCACACCCCACCCAGCTGAGCAGCCTGTGGTTCAAAGTCCCCAGAGAGCTGGTGGGCACACGGGACCTCACAGCGGGCTCCACAACCAGGGTGGACAGAAGCCACTTGGGCCGGGTGCCTGGCCCGGGCGTGCACATGCGCCAGGGCAGCCTGGGCAGCAGCGAGGCCTGTGTTCTGAGAAACTAGCCGTGAAGGATTCAGGTTAAGGCATCCTTCGAGCCCTGCATATAGGTCAGGGCCCTGCGGTCCCGAAGGGCCCGGCCCACAGCGCTGCGGCTGGGAGTCCGCACCTTTTCTTAGGGTCGTACATGAAGAGGAAATTCACCAGGCGCAGCCCGGCCTCCGACAGCCATGGGAACTTGTGCTTGAGGTTGTTGTACGGCTGCTTCCTCAGGCTGTACTGGCCAACCAGCGGCAGCTTGGAAAAGCCCTAGAAGAAGCAGGCGCTGAGCCGCGGGGGGAAGGCGCAAGGGAGGGGTGGGGGGCTGCCCTGGACACCCACCGGCCAGATGTTCTCACTGGGCGTCCCCAGCAGCTGCACAATCAGGTCAATCTGGTGGATCTCGGAAGTGCCAGGGAGAAGGGGCTTGTGGGCCAGCAGCTCGGCCAGGATGCAGCCCACAGCCCTGCAAGGAGGAGGGGGCCTCGCTGTGGCCACAGACCCGCGTGGGGTCCAAAGACACCACGGTGGGACAGGCAGGTCACTACGGGGCTCCTCACCCAGGCCCATGACCCCATCCCAGCAGGCCCCCTGTGGACCTTACTGCTAAAGGCCTGTGCATGCTGAAGCTGCCTTCTCATGCTCCCCTGGGGTTCCCAGCCCCACTGCCACCCCTGCCCTGGGGCCCCGCCCAGGAACCAGGTGACCCCGCTCTACCTCGGTCCTTCCAAGGCCCCAGGAGCGGCAGCCCCTGCTCACCACATGTCGATGCTGGTGGTCTGGGTGGTGGTTCCCAGCAGCAGTTCAGGGGCTCGGTACCTGGAAGCAGCACCCCACCTCACACCACTAGCTCCTCCAGCCCAGGCCACCACAGGAGACAGCCTCCTTGAGACCCCGGGGTGGCCTGGACAACTGATCGCTAACCACAGCGCTCTCTGCCCTGCACCCTGCTTACAGCTGCCAGTCGGGGCGAGCTACCATGTCCGCAGTGTGCTGTGTGTTGCAAGAACCAGGGAATCCTCAGCACAAGCATGCGTCCCTGTTTCCAGATGGGGATTACACGGCACACGGCAGAAAGAGGCCACGTGGAGATCCTGACCCGGGTCTGACCTGCTTCAGTGTCCTGCCCTTAACCACGACCCTGTTCTGCCTGTTCAAAAACGTCAACGAGAGATAACTACAGAACGCTGCGCAGGCTGCCCACCTTCCCGTCTGTGAAGCAACCTTCCCTTCCTGAGGTGGTTTCACAGCCATCTGGACAAGGCAGGTTCCCTGATGCCACAGAGCCCGGCTGTCACCCCTTCCCCGGGACAGCCCTGCTATGTCCTGGGAAGCTGTCTGAGACCCAGCCCTTCTTTTTTTTTTTGAGACAGAGTCTCACTCTTTTTGCCCGGGCTACAGTGCTGTGGCATCAGCCTAGCTCACAGCAACCTCCAACTCCTGGGCTGAAGCAATCTTCTGCCTCAGCCTTCCGAGTAGCCGAGACTACAGGCACGTGCCACCATGCCTAATTTTTTCTATATATTTTTAGCTGCCCAAGTAATTTCTCTGTATTTTTAGTAGAGACAGAGTCTCGCTTTTGCTCAGGCTGGTCTCGAACTCCTGAGCTCCGATCCTCCCGCCTCGGCCTCCCAGAGTGCGAGGATTGCAGGTGTGAGCCACCGCGCCCGGCTGACCCAGCCCTTCTGAACACCTCTGCACCAGGCATTCCCGCTCCCCGGGGGCCCCACGTTTCTGAGGGACTCACCAGAGGGTCACCACCTTGGGGGTCATTGGTTTTACTGGGATGCCATAGGCCCGGGCCAGGCCGAAATCCGCTGTAGCAGAGAAGGGAGAGTGGAGCGTGTCACCCAGTGAGGGCTAACAGGTCACCACCTGGGGACAGAGCCAGGCACAGGCACCCTGGAGCCACAAAGACAAGTCAGCTTCTGGCCTCAGGGTGCTTGTCGGGGCCAACACCTCCCACCCCCAGGTGAAGGTGGTGGTCACAGAAGGACGACTCCACGCACGCGAGGCCAGCACGCGGCACCCACCTGTCTTCACGCAGCCCTTATCAGTCATGAGCAAGTTGGAAACCTTCAGGTCCCTGTGACAAGAAAGAGACGTTGGTGGCTCCCAAGAAGCAAGCGTGACTAGGGCAGACTGGCACCACATGACACTTCCCTGCACCCTTCCTCATGTTCAGGCCTTTCGGAAGAGCCGGGCCTCGAGCTGAGGTCTCACCTCCGGTTCTGCCCGCTTGCCCACCCAGACGTCGCACCAGCTGCCCCAGGGCAGACGCCGCTGCTCGCCTGGTGCGCTCACAGCACTGCGAGTGGGTGCCGTGCACGGCACTCACACCCGACCACCCTCAGGCTCTGAGGGTCCGGTGGGTACGAGGGCTTCTGTGACTCGTTTGGGCCTGGACCCTTCCCCGTGGAGCGGTTAAAGAACGTCCACTGCACGTCTGCTCCTCTCTTGCCCGGCACCTGGACTGGCATGCTGGCACTGGAGGCCAGGGACCACCCTCCCCAGCGTCACAGACCAGCACTGTCTCCACCAAGCCCTTTGCCCAAGGCCATGCCCGAGCCCTGCCCACCCACCTGTGGATGATGAAGTTCCTGTGCAGGTACTGAAGGCCCCGCAGCACCTGCAGCACGATGCACTTGACCTGTGCAGAGGGCCTGAGGCGTCAGTCAGGGCGAGCCTTCGGGGAGCCCAGCCCCGGCCTGCCACCCCCAGTGGCCGCCAGGACCAGCGGCCAGTGCGCAGCCAGGAGCCCAGCTGGAAAGGTGCTGCTGTCCTTCCCCTCCTCAGTGACCAGTCTGAAGAGCAGCGCTGGCAGGGCTCCTAACTCTCCCGTGGTGCCCGACAGGCAGTAAAATCCCCCTCACTGAAGCAGAGACATGGAGGTGGCATGTTTGGTACACGCGTGCCCCACCCCAGGCCTCCGCTACGAACCTGGGCCTCCGAGAAGGGCGTCGGCATGTTCTCTAGGAGGCTGGCCAGGTCTTGCTCGCAGTAACCCATCACCAGGAAGATGCTGGAAAGGGGAGACGCATGCTGCCTCCTGCCTGCCCCAAGTGGGCAAAGGGCCTCCACTGCTGCGGGGGGGACCACCCAAGGCAGAGACGGGTGGGGGGCTCAGCTGGGGCCCGATGCAGAGGCCAGGAGATTGCACACCTCTCCAGGTGGTTCCCCACAACCACCTCCTTCAGCTCCACGATGTTCGGATGGTGAAGACGAAGAAGCAGCGTGATCTCCCGCAGGCTGCTGATGGGGATGCCTGTGGGGGACAGCCTCAGTGAGCCCCGCCCACTGATGGGGACGCCT